GAGACAAGCAAAGTTTCTTCTGCCATAAAACTCTACCTGCTAATGATTTTTGAAACTTTTAGTTCTGCTTTAACTTCAGTAAGGGCCGTGGCACAACAGTAATCCTGTTGTAGGTCTTGCTACAGCCCACCAGACATGTTACCCTGTATGCCAAAGGCCCCTTTCACATGATCAGATCAGGAGAGAATCCATGCATGGATCCCCTGCTGATTGGAATGGATGTCACCATTGTGACTGCGGTCCTGGCGAAATGGAACTCTGATCCGCTTGTTTTTCCGGACCTGGACGGAGTTGGGGGCAACTGGTTGCCCTTCCATTTAGATCCGGCTGCCCATAGACTAAAATTGGGCCTTTGATCAGGTCCTCCTGAAAAACTGACCAGGTAGACCTGACTGGAATGCCCATGTGAAAGGGGCCAAATGCATTCAAACTCGAGTGTCTACTTCCCTATAAAGTGATACGACTGAGGTTTGTAGTGGAGTAAAAAAAAAAAAAAATAGCTTCAAGAAATTAGTATTATGGATAGAGTAGCTAGGGATGACTAACTAAAAGATTTGAGATTATTCACACAATGTTGGATAACTGAAGTGATTATTCCCATAATCCATTCTGTCACACATCAAGGCGATGCTGAACAGTGAGAGATTATACCACAGATTTACTACAAAGGTTACAGCTTAAGTCATAAATTGCTCCCTCTGTAGCACTGTTTTGTACAACCTGAAGCCTGTGTGTGCAAGGCCTAAGCTGGTCACACACTGGTAGATTTTCCTACAGACCTTCATATGAAAAATCTGGTGAGAACAGTTCATAACGCCGTCAGAGGCTTGATGAATGATGTACAAAATTCTGTTTGATTTTAACATTTGATTGTGGAATGAATGGAGTTCCCAGAACAAAAGCCATATACACAGTAAGAATTCCATTAGAGAAAAAAAAATTAAATCCTGCTCCTTCAATTATTTATATTTTGTCATCCTGGTCAAAAATGATAATTAAATTTGACCCCATTAAATGCTGAAATTTAACTTTTTTTTTTTTTAGTATACAGATATTTACCTGTGCTGCTGCTTCATGACAAAATCCCTCCATGCCACTGGATATACCCCAGAGCGACTATCTTCTAGTGCTCTGGGGGTTAACACAAGAGTGAGAGTTGTGCCGCTCACCCACCCCTTCCTGTCCCCTTCTCCCTTTATAGACATCATTGTATTATTACACAATACACTCTGGGAATGGAGAAGTTGTGGATGAAGAACGAGATCTGTCCTGCCCACTCAGAGTGACAGGTAAGGGGCACAGCTCTATGACTATCTGATAGTCGCTGGTGCACCTGAAGATGGTCCCTCTGGGGTGTATCCAGCTGGAAAGGGTTTGTCATGAAGCGGAAACCTGGAGGTGGTGGGATACACATTAGCACAGGTAATTAATGTAATTGGTGTTGCATCCTAAAAACAAAAACACGAAATTTCAGCTTTAACTATGAGAAAATCGAACAAACGTTCCCAAAGAAAACCTACAGGCGTATGGCCAGCTTTAGGGTCTTTCCATTGGCATTCATGAAGGTATAAAAACTTAGTGAGAAGCCTCTAAACAGGATAGCAAAAGTTAAAGTCTCAAAACAGTATAGCCAAAAGTTCTACTTCAAATGTTCATAGGTATGAGAAGTTTGGGATCATGGGCAGGGACAGATTTCCCACGAGGCCAACCAAGGCCCGGCCTTGGGGCAGCAGGGAGTTGAGGGGCAGCAGGGGTGTGGAATTCCTATCTCCCGATGGCCGGGACATGGAGTTCCGGGTGCCGAGCCGGTAGTTGTTTCCAATGAGAAGCAAGTAACCAGCACGTTTCGAGACCGTGCAGGGTCCCTTCATCAGGCAATGTGATGAACTACTTTGTATCTACGCAGTGCCCTCCACTTCCAACTACAGCACCCACAACAAGGGGCATATCTGTTAGGTGTGTGATGGGATATCCATACTGATCTGATGTTTCCAATGGGGATGCAGCACATATTCAGTAGGGTTAAAATGTCTGAATGTTTTTATTGCCACCTGTGCTTTCCTGTACCAGAGAGCCCCCCCCCAACTTCTTGTCTTGTCAGAAGGAAATACAGTCTCCTTAAAAACCTGATAGAAATTGTAATCCTCCTGCACTTTATTAAAAAAATTAAAATAAATAACTATTCCTAGAGTTAAGCTTTAGAGCCTGTTCACACAAGCCGCCAGCCGCCTGGGTGCAGGCCAGTGTGCGTCTGTGGTGGGGGCATGACTTGCATTTTTACACTGCATGGCACCGCTTCCTTTTTTCTTTATCGAACTGGAATAGTAACATTTCATTCCTATGTTACCACTGCAAAAAATGGACAGTTGCTCCAGGTGAGCTTTGCTGCATTGCAGAAACAAGCAGCATGTCTGCATTTTTCAACACTGCACCCCACCTGAAGGCAACATTGCAGTGTGAAGAGGGAACTATTGTTTTCTATGTGTCCTTGTTGTTACTGGCATGGATCAAATGCAGAAAAACGCCAGTGGCTGCATAGTGTGAAAGGGCCCTTAAAGTAAGCTTGTCATGGGAGAAATCTAGGCGCTGCCATTGATAACCTCTTAACAGTTATTATCCCAGCCCACTGGCTGCAATACCTTCAGCATTTGTGACTTGGTAGTATGTAAAGCTTGAAAGTCAAAGCAAAAGGCAGGAGTCCTAATCTGTACACTTGTACGGAGACAGTTATAAAATATTGAAGAGGGACAGTTTGGAAGCCAGAAAACTAGTATGTGCAGAAGAAGAGTACAGCATTGGAATCATTCATATGACGCACATCACCACAATGCATCGGGCCTTTGTGAATGTCACCACAGTGCACCGCAATGTAACACATTTTATGGCACTTTACAATGTACAAAAAAAAGGGCCAAGAGCATTTTTGGTCTGTGGTGCACATTAATACACCAGATTGATTAACACAAGTGTGAACCTCCCCCCCCAAAAAAAAAAAAATTAAAACAGTTCTGGATGTAGTACAGGGGTGGGCAAACTCTGGCCCTCCAGCTGTGGTGAAACTACAAATCCCATGATGCATCTGTCTGGCAGTCATGACTGTGGCTGAGAGAATCTTGCAATGCCTCATTGGATTTGTAGTTCCACAACAGCTGGAAGGCTGGCGTTTGCCTACCCTTGATCTATAGCATAGACTTTAGTTTTGGTTTGGAGTAGGGAATGTTTAAATCCCCTGTCCAGCTTTGTTTGGTTTCTTTTTGTCTGTATCCAATTGAGACAGGGTGAAGTCACAACACATAGCTGCTCAGACGACATACTTTCACCACCCACACTAACCAGTGTAATGGGCCCATTTCAAAATCTCATTCCACAGCCCCTGAAGCCGTGTAGCATCTTAATGCTGGCAATGATGAGCATTCTTTGGTAAGCACAGTCACATGGGCTCCTCTGAGCCTTCTTTCTGCTGGGACAACATCTCAGCAGAAAGAAGAGATTCTTATTGGTGGACGCAATCACAGGGCTGTGCTGACATATGACCATTACCAGCATTTTGATGCTCTCCCTGTTGCATACTTTTTGAATTTGGTGCGATTGTGTGTGGCTCTGCCTGCGCAGTCACATCATCCATTCACATCTGTGACTGGAAAGACTACAAGTTCCATCTACTACTGCAGCAGAGGGACTCCTAGATCTCAATAGAGCACAAGCGGCAGAGGGATTTGCAGAACGTGGCGGTACAAGTGTGGTAAAATCACAGCACTTATAGTCCATTGATTAATTCCTCCAGCCTCATAAAGCTGGGTATACACTCATAGGCTTCACCCACACCTATACTTCAGGTACGTTTAGGGATTCCTGCATCAGAACTTGTGATTTCCTGCAAGGAATCCCAAATCCACCCTTTAGAAGCGGCAGCTTTCATCGGTTCAAGTTCATGATCAGGTGACAGTGGCCGCATTATTATTGGCACAATATTGTATGCGATATGATTACACGTGGTTAGGAATCAATCACCATCAATGCGTCCAGAAGGGACAATCGATGTCTAGCCACATGCAATCATGTTTTCCAATGCAGCTGCTGTCATCTGATCATTAACTTGAATGAGTGACAGCTGCCGCTTAGGGATTCCTAACACAAAAACACACAAGTTCCTGACTCCAGAATCCCTAAAAACTAAAAGGATCAGAATGGAACATGTATCTTGTTACAGATAAAATGTTCGGGGGAACTCCATCCATCCCAAAAAGAAATGGAATTTCCATCAAGTGTCTGATGTCATTATTAAAGTGATATTAAAGGCTAAAGTTCCCCCCCCCCCCCCCCCCCCACCC